ATTTTATAAGTTTAGGTGGCTCAGCCTCTTCTTGTTGTATTATGGGGAAATGAACTTGACAAAGGGCAGACCATTCTATAAGTTTAGGTGGTCTAGCCCAATGTCACGCACAGATTGGATCAAAGAGGAACGAACCATGCAGAGAGTCAGACTGTTCTGTAAGTTCAGGTGGTCTGATTCAAAGTCTCGCACATGCTGGAACCCAAAGGTTATAATTTGATTATATTCTATTACTATTTTATTTAAGGACAGGCTAGTCAGACTATTCTATGAGTTTAGGTAGTCTGACTATAGCTTATCATAACCTGAAGAAAGTATAATTAAGAATATAATTAATGGTAAGATGAGGCAGGTTGAACTTAAGCTAGTTAAGTCCTATGCAACCTTAGAAGACAAAGGGAAGACAGATATATACAACTTGGATATTTTAAACAGTTAAGGACGACTATAATAGTCTAGTCATATGCCCAAAGAAAAGAGAAGTAGTTGTGCCCTTTGTTTTGTGTATACTCTTTGGTTAAGTTAGGCTCATTCCATAAGTTTGGCTGACCTGACTTTATGTCTGGCTAAAGTAAGGTACATTCCATAAGTTTGGGTGACCTGACGTTATGCCTTATGTAACCTGGGTGTAAGGGGTTAAATCATTGAAAGATCATGAACTATTGTTTGTTCAGGTAAACTTGGGATGGTGAGAGTACTCACTTTTGTGGTTTGACCTGCATGTGACTGAGTGAGGCCACTACTTAGTCTGAGTTTCAATTTGATAGGTATTTGCTTTAGTTGTTCGCCACGTGCTAGAGTCATATGAGTAGTTTCAATTCCTGCATTTTCTGAGCTAAGTTTATTTTTACTTAGGTCAATTTCTGCATTTTCTGGGATATTTTATTATACTTGGTCTTGTATAAATCTTGGTAAGACACTATCTCTACGGGAAGCGCTGCCAAAATTTCTACAAAACCAAGGAGTTAGTGAAACTCTGTCTTTTTCAGGGTCCAGTTCTTTTTGACTTTTTGGCTTAGTAAAAATATGGAAAGCCTAATTTTCTAAAGGGAGTGCTGCCCAAAGTTTTGCTAATTCAGGGAGTTATACAAAATTAGACTTTGGAAAGTCAAAGTCATTTCAGATTCTGAACTTAGATTTGTATAAATCTTGGAATAACACTTTCTCTACGGGAAGTGCGGCCGAAATTTCTACAAATTTAGGGAGTTAGTTAAATTTTGTCTTGGTTGAACTTAGATTTTATGTTTGAGTTCATGTCTGTCCTAGTATAAATCTGGGAACTCTTCCTTTCTAGAGGAAGTGCTGCCCAAATTTTTACTAATTCGAGGAGTTAGACAAAATTTTTACTTTCTAGAATTAAAAGTTTGATTTTTGAGCTAGTATAAATTCTGCGAGGGCACTTTTCCTACGGGAAGCACTGCTGAAATTTTCTTAGTTTAGAGGAGTTAGATTATATTTTGACAGGTGACGATTCTGGACAATCCACTGTGTATAGGGAAGATTCTGTCAGAGTCTACCTTTCCTTTGACACTTGCTTAGAGGTAGACTTAGGCATTAGTTAATTAGGATGGTCTGAGTGAGATCGTGATAAAGAGATTATTCACCCTGGACTTATAGACTTAGCTTGGGGGATTGGCCTGTCATGTGTTACACGTCCTCTTAATCGATTGATTTAGGATTTTGGGCTAGTTTCAGCTTGATCCTGCGAGGATCATCTTCTGTTATCACTGATAACAGGTCGGTTGCCGATTCGTCGGTTTACGACTTAATCCCAATTCATCCTCAATACTCAACCTAAAAAGGCTTTAGCCGTGGTGATTTCATTGTTTTGTTAAGGTTTCACCCGGATTTTTATTGAATGGTCATTTAACAAAGGTACTGAGTATTTAATTATGGTTGGTTGGACAGGAGGCTGGGTCTTGCATGGCTAAAGCGAGGGGTATGAGTGTGGAGGTTGGTTGAAGTTGACTCCGTTTAGTGCGTGAACTGTTTGTTTGACTCTTTGATGTGATTGAAGGTATGTATGGTGGTTTGGATTTGGACTGGCCTGACTGTGATCATATATATATATGTGGCTGTGAGGAGTCCCACTGTGACTGAGAGAAGTGATCGTCACATACTTAGCCCCCTTATATATATATAAAAATATATGTGTACTTATGTTGGAAGTTCGCGTGGCCTGAGGGGCCCGCGTATTAAAGGTAGAAGTTGGGGTTGAGAAAAGAAAGGTAAAACCCCTTTATTCATTATATGTTTCTTAATAATTTCTTAGTCAGACGTTGGTCCTGGGCCGGGATTCGAGGTCCTTGTCCAGGATATCCCAAGCCCTAGACTCTGCATGGAAGGGATCATCCCTCGGGCAGAGCCTGCTTGTCTTGCCTGTCGAGACACTCAGTCCAAAGGTCGGAGGTGTCAAGGTGGCCGCACGACTATTCCTTCAGCCGTGCAATGTCGTGAGGGACTAGACCCTCACGACACTTCGAGTCTGACACTTGAGTGTCATAAGCGGTACTCGGACCCACGAGGGACCGCTTGATTATAGGCACTACATAGTACGTCATCTTCGCGACTGTTTGCGCATTCATGCATTGCTAATCAATATAAGAAAGTCCTGCGGCCGCGTGGTTTTGTATTAAGTTTCGCGCGCGTCGCCTATCCGATTTCCGCATCAGAAAGTTATGAGATGGCTACGAGGGACTAATAACATTGTCTCGTTATTTGTTTTGTATCGTTTTGGGTATGTGTGTGTGTATGTGTGTTTTTGTTTTTATATTCTTTATAGTGGCGTGCGTGTGGCGTGTGGGATACGTCCTAGTCGACCGGCGACGAATCGCGCTTGGGACCTCAGCCCCCCAAGATGACGGTTTATGTACGGGTCCAATAGAGGCGTAATACCGCGCGTACCCCCTATGCTACAGCGAACGAGAAACGCCCTCGGCGGGTCCACCTCTGCGATTGTAACTGATCAACTTTCGTATTGTGGACTGGTAGCTCGGTGGGGATACGCCCATTGAAGGGAGGTGACAACTCCCGTAAGGTGGAGGTAACTCGTACCTCGTGTAGGCCCTATCCTTTCGTAGGGGCTCGTTAGAGGTATGGCTGGTGCAATCGATCGGAGCGGCTTGTGGAAGCTCCATGTGTATATTCGTGACAAGGATTCAAACCAACTCCTGTGTGACGCGACCGGAAGGGTCCCGCGCTGCCCTTGTACGGTGCCGGACCGATGCGCTCGACAGGTGGCGCCGTTGCCAGGGATAACGGAAGTCTACCGTTGTCCCTGGTGGAACGACATCCGGGTGTAAGATTGCAAGAAAATAAGCATATGAGGCAAGACTAAGTACATAATATCTTGTCAGCTTATCTATGATAAAATAACTGTTATACTAAGTCTTATCATTGATTGGATTGATTATTTAGACTGGAAAGTTATGAGGGGGATTTTATAGAGGGAAATAGGGCTTATTAAAATACGTCCTATAGGAATGGAAACAGGGTAGGACCTTTTAGGCCTGAGTCATAGGCTAGCTATGGTAGAGATCTGATGTGAGATGTGATAGGATCGGATTGCTAAGTAAGATGATGTGGTCTTCTTAAGCAGGAAAGGCGAGTAAAGGAAGCCCACAAAGATGTCGGGACCTATAGCAGATGGTGAGGGGAGGGTTCTGACACTCGAGGACCTCATTGAGGCACTGGATAAGCGAGAAAGGACGCCAAGCAATGTCCCCAAATTTGACACTTTCCACTTCAACGGGGAACGGGTCTCTGATTGGTTGGACTTGGTGGAGCAATCCTTTGTGGGATTATCGGATGAAGTAAAGTTCAAGCGCATTCTGAAGTATGTACTTCATGTCCACCAACAGGAGGTGGAGAAGGTTGTAAACGCGGCCAATGGCAGCTGGGCCCGATTTAAGGATGGGATGCGGAGGAAGTATAGGCTGGGCGATTGACTGCTAACCACGGCGGACCTAGAGGCCATGAACAGGGACAATTTCACCACGGTGGGGGCGTTCGTGCAGGAATTTAAGAAGAAGGCGAGAAAAATTCATGGCATCTCAGAGGAAGCCTAATGTGCTATTTTTCTGGGGTTGTTCACCGCCACGGAGGCTGCGGAATTAACGAGCCATGGAGGAGGAAGCGAGAAACTTACGTGGGCCACTATTGACAAAGATGTGGCAGAAGGGAGTTTGGACGAGGTGGAACAACACCAGATACGCCTGCAAAGGCGCAAGCGGAAGGAAAGGGATGCCACAACGTCCGAAACCCCGGGAGTGAGAAGGATTGTCACCGACGTGCTGGCGGAACTGGGCTATGGGAACGATGGGGTAATACAGAAAAAGGTAGTAACGGTGGTCCAAGGTAAGGGAAAAGTACTAGTGGTAGAGGAAGATGCTCAAGAAGAGTGGGAAGAGTAAGAGTCTGTGCCTCAACACCTCTCGAAGGCGCTACGCAAGCAGCGCAACTTAGCTCGGGGGGGCAAGGTTCAGGAAAAGGGCAGATGCCTCAGACAGTGGTAGTCACGCCACCGAGTGCGTCGGCTCCATCAAGTAGCGTGGGACCCTCGCAAGTGCCGGTACCACCATTCGGGCAGTGACCCTGACCTATGTATAATACTTTTGTGCCATGGGGAAATCTGGCTCCGCCCGGACAGATGGTACTGTACGCTGGGCCCCAAGCGAGTATGCCGCCTCCAAGCTACCCCACCGCTCAGGCCCAACCCGTAGCGCCACCTCCGTCGCCCGCGCCTAGTTCACAAGGTAGTGTGGCAACTTAAGGTAATCAAGGCCAGGGAAATCAGGGGAATGGCGGGAGAGGCGGTGGGAGAGGGCGCGACAGAAATGGCGGTGGTCGAGAAGGTCAATGGGACAACCAAGGTTACCAAGGCCAGGGAAATCAAGGTAACCAAGGGAACCAGGGGAGTGGAAGAACCCACTTTGATTGGAGGACCGCCATATGCCAGCATTGTGACCAGCAGGGCCACACCATACGGTTCTGCAATACAAGGCGGGAGGATGAGAGAGTGAGACTGATCTACTCCAACATGGATGGTGATATATATGATCAGTTCGGAGAGTACATTGATAGGAAGGTCCCTGGCGGAGCAAGGGCGGAAGCCCAGAGAAGGGTGGCTGCACGACAAGCGCCGCCTGCCACGTTCAGGTTATGGCAGGAGAAAGAGGACCCACCAATTAGAGTAGAAGAGGTGGGAAGTGATGAGGAAGTGACCCAGAGGCTACGGGCAGGAGATATAAAAGAAGAGCCCATAGTCGTCGAGTCAGAGGACGAGAATGAAAAGGAGAAAGTAGAGCCCCCGTCAGTCCTGCTGGGGAAGATGGAAGACCTATTGGGGAAGGTGGGAAGATACTAACTGAAGTTGGTGGACCTCTGTGAAGAAGTGAAGGAATGGAGGGCCAACATCCCCAAGGTCTTCCTCTATGATTCTGGCCCAGAATCCATGCCAGGACGACACGGGGTGACCACCGTGGGATCAGGCCCGCGGTCAGGGATGATGACCAGACCTCCTACGCCGCAGGGAAGGTTGGCGCAGGCTGCTCGTACCCGAGGTCAGGCTAAAGCCGGTGTGAGCCAAGAGCCTCCTCGAAAAGAGTCTGAGCCAGAAAAAAGGAAGAAGGCCGTGGAGGTAGAGGATGAGGAGGAGGAGGAAGAAGAGGACGAAAGGTTGCGCCAAGAAGAAGATCAGAGGGCGGAGCAAAGGGCTAGAAAGAGAGAGGCCAGAGAGGAAGTCGAGCCAATCCTGTGCGATGTGTCGCCCAAAAAGAAGAAGTATGCGGTCCGGCTGGAAGAAGGGTTCGATGTGGAAAAGGTGATTGATAGGTTGTTGGAGGGTCACAACGACCTTATGACCCTAAAGGAGATTTTGGCGTCGGCACCTAAGCTCCGTGATGGACTGAAGGGGAGGTTGTCACGACGCCTGGTACCTAGTGTCCATCTAAGTATGATTCTGCCTAAGGAAGCGGAGTGGGCAGAGACGGGGACAAAGATGGACTAGAAATGCGTAGCTTGTTGCACGATGAATTTGGTGGTAAAGGGCTCTAAGTGTTCAACCATGGTGGATACGGAAGCGGAAATGAATATTATCCGGGAGGCTGACGCGGTCAGGTTCGGATTGGAGATAGACCGCTCGGATTGCGGTATCTTGCATGGAGCCAAAGCGGTGTTTTGCGGGACAGCCTCGAATGTACTTATCGAGGTTGGAAGAGTAAAGGTCAGGGCGTGCTTTTTCGTGATGCTTGATGTGAACCACAAAATCCTCTTCGGAAGATCTTTCTTATGCAGGACAGAGACGTTGATGTTTAATAAGCACGATGAAACTTTAATCCTTATCATGTGTGACCCTGCCTGCGGGAATTATGAAGTAATCACCTGCAGAAATACAAGGCCTCGAAGCATAAGGAACCAACCCAACCCGAGCTCATTCACGATTGAGGAATCGGAGGGAGAGCGTCGGAGACTCCTTGCGAAACCAGAAGAGGAGGAAAGAGTCGAGGCGTTTTTCCTCAGCCTGGCGGACGTGAATAAGGCCATGGATATAGTGGCCACACATGAGATTGTGGATCCATACGCCATCCAGGCACTAAGGGAACGGGTCCTGGAATGTCCCCAGGCCGGGGAGTTGGAGTTGGTATATCGACTTTCAGGAGGAAGGAGGAACCCGGCGTCAATGCAAGCTCAAGCTGTAAGCCGACCTTTTTTAGGGGACGACTCAAGCAGGGTTCCCAAAGGCGGTACAAAACGATAGACAAAAAGTGTCGCCCAGTTCCCGTCCTCGTTACCGAAGATGAGGAAGTGTATTATGAACGAGAACGAGGTTTGATACGGCAGATGAAGGAGAGTCCCACAACAGGACCATGCCGTATCAGCGAAGGGAACGAGGGGAAGTTGAAAATAGGAGAGTCTGACTTCCTACTGCGCCACGAGAGAACTCTAATGGTAGAGTTAATGAAGAAAAGACATCGCGCCTATGCGTTTAGTGATGAGGAGCGGGGCAGGTTGGATGTGGACAAGATTCCTATGATCCGCATTCATACCGTGCCGCACGAGCCATGGAACTTGAGAGGGGCGCAATACCCTAATCCTGACGAAGAGAAGGGGGTGGTTGGTTACCATGACGGTAAGATACGCACGCATGTCGCCGACTACTCAAGTGGGCCATATGCATCCCCATGGTTTTGCTTCATCAAACCTAACAGGACGCTGCGGTGGGTGCAAGACGTGCAGCGATTAAATGCGGTGACTGTGCGGGATGCGGGAGGACTGCCAAATGCGGATGGGTTGTCGGAATCCTGTGCTGGAATGCCTATAATTTCACTTACAGAACTTTACTCCGGATATGACCAATTTCCGGTCTACCCACCTGACAGGCCAGTGATAGCAATGCATACGCCTCGAGGGCTGATCCACATGAATGTGGCTCCACAGGGGTGGACCAACGTGGTAGCAATGATTCAGCGGGTCATGATTCGGGCCATGCAGTCAGTCAGTCCGTATATCGCACAACCATATATCGATGACTTGGCAGTGAAGGGGCCAACGGTGAAAGAGAGTGACGAAGTCTTGCCGGGAGTGAGGCGTTTTGTCTGGAGACATATTCAGGACCTTGAGAAAGTCCCGAATCTGCTTGAAGAGCATAACCTCACGGCAAGTGAGGCCAAATCCAGACACTGCATGAGAGAAGCTACTATTTTGGGGTTCGTATGTAATGAGAAAAGTCGTCGGCCGGATATAAAGAAGACTGACAAGATTATTGAATGGCCAGTACCATTCCACTCGATAACTGATGTTAGAAGCTTCCTCGGCACGTGTGGGTTTTGGAGGACCTTCGTCAAGAACTTCGCCGCCAGGACGGAGCACTTGAGAAAGTTGGTTCGTCAGGACTAGGAATGGATTTGGGGGGAAGAGCATAAGAGAGTGGTGGCAGAGATGAAGGAAGAATTCCGAGAAGGAGGGTTGATATAGGGAGTGTCAGACTACGACACCACAGAGACGAGACCATTCATTGTCGAAATAGATGCTGGACCAACTGCCTTAGGTGGAGTTTTGATTCAGGAAGATACAAAAGAGAGGAGAGGCCGTTGCGATTTGAAAGTCGAACTCTCTATACGACTGATAGAAATTACTCTCAGCTCAAGAGAGAAACTCTCGTCGTCCTCCACTGTCTTCGAATCTTTCGAAACTATATCTTTGGCAGGAGATTCATATTAAGAGTGGACCCGAATGCTCTGGCCTATTCCTTAAGGAATTACGTTCCATCGGATCCGACTGTTGCCAGATGGCTGACGTACATCTCGATGTTTAATTTCGAGTTGGAGTGTATTCCTGGAAATAAGAATAGGGCGGGCGGACTGAGTCGTATCAACTGGGACATGCAGGAGGGGGAGGCAGTAGAGAATACGCCCCCAGTTAATGGCTTTCTGGATCAGGAGGAGGATCCGCCTCCACATCAATAAGTGGTCCCCACGAGTGCCTAGTTGCGTTGGTCATCCTATCTGGCAGGCGCCAAACGGATATGAACAGAAGGCAAAACTGGTCCTCAAACCCTTCGAAGAAGAGGATCCATGGGGCAATAAAGATGTCCAGTGGATGATGAAGTTGGCATTGGCAGGCTCGCATAGTCAAGTGGAGGAAATGAGGACAATAGAGGAAGGACCTGAACAGGTAGAAAGACACGAAGAGTTGATGGGAGGGCTGTATCTCCTCGTCAATACCCTTCTGCAAGGAGACTTTGGTCAGATAGGCTCGTTGAATCCGGCTGGGAATGAGGATGTGATGCCAGAGAGCCAGGATGACGAGTTTGAGGAAGAGGAGATCAAAGAGACATTCCGTGCAGAGGAGTATGATGGAATCTACCTGGAGCGGGGACTTCTCCTATCATGCGAAATGCGGGATAGGGATGTGAGCGATAGGGCCCAAAAGATGAGGGAACGTTACTTGGTGAGAGATGGTCATCTCTTTGTGAGGAGGCAAGTGAGAAATCCAAGGAGAGTCGTATGCGGCAGGAACCGTCAGATCAATGTTATAGTTGCGCTTCATAATGGCATCGCGGGAGGGCACCGAGGAATTAGTGTCACTTATGCCAAAATAACTGAGCTATATTATTGGGACGGGATGATGGAGATGGTTGGTAAGTTCTGCCGGTCCTGCGTACCTTGTCAAGAGCGATCTCGTCTGAGGCCGGGGGAACCACTGCATCCAAGGCTAGAAAGGGAAGTAGGGGCCGTAGTACATCTCGACTTATTATTTATGCCACTCGGAGACCATGGCTACAATTACATCTTCAATGCATGTGATGACCTTTCCGACTTTGTAGATGGGAGGACCATTCTTACAAAGACCGGACCAGTTTTTGTTTGTTGCATCGAGGAGTACTACCTACGCTATCCCTTTGTCAAAGAGGTCGTAATGGATAGAGGGTCGGAGTTTACCTTTCAGGAAGTACAAGAATTATTGTCGAGGTACGGCGTGGTGGCCAATTATACCACGGCCGCGCATCCCTAGGCAAATGCTCCGGTGGAGAGAGGACATAGCACCATTACAAATCTACTAGCCAAGTGGACTGAGGGTAGGCCTAATCAGTGGCCAAGGTCAGGGTTGTCAGGCGGGGGCCCCCGGGGGCAAAGCCGGGGTAGGGGTTTGACCCCCGGACACTCGCCACGGGGGTGCCCCACCCCCGCCCACCCCAAAACACCCTTGCCGGTGCCCCGACCCCGCACCACCGCCGGGCCCCGCACCCCCACCCCCGCCTCCCCCGCACCCCCCCCC